GTCATTTTCACTCAAAATCCGCCATGTTTTTGGCTTCACTTCGATGACTGAACGAAGTATAGGAGCAGGTCCTCCAGTTATTATACAGCTCAGTGGTATAGCTCAGTGGTCGCTCCGCAACTCCTCCCCTTCCCATCGTCCCGCGCGCCCCCATTAATTTTTTTTCGTCTTTTACTAATTAATTATTTGATAGCAAGCGACTGGGGACGAGGCAGAGATGTCTCCTGAAGTCCACCTGTATACCCGAATTTTTCCTCTAATGTACCTTAATGTACACCAATGTATTTTGATGGAACTCTTGTTGAAGATACTGGAAAAATTTGAAGATTTCTGAAATTTTGCCCAAACTATGGGGATTTTTTCTCGTTTACCTCTACAACAAATTATGGTAGCTAGTGTTCTCGGTGTGTTAAGTGGATTGTACATATTTGCCCCAGGAATTATTGAATTTTCAAGCCAAATACAGAAGAAAAATGTGGATGAAAGTGGACAAGATCAAATTCAAGATGGTGGGCAAGCAGCTCTGGAGAACAAGGCAGAAAATGTATAGATGATGGTGAATTATGAAAAACTAACATGGATTATTGGGAACTGAGAGGTGGGCTAAACGTTAGTTTAGTGGACATCTATGTGTCGTTGAAAGTAGTCGGGCAGACTGCAGGGTCTGAAATTTGCAGTATACCGATATCTCCAGGACACCAAAAATTTGGTTTTGGATTCCAAACTGTGAATGACTTTTATCCCGACCGGATACTAAGAAATTTTCAAACATTAAGAAAATGTTAAACACCTTTGACAGGCTTTTGAAAAATATCAGTTTGCCAGCAGACCTTAATATTGCCTGACTGGAAAGTTTGGAAAAATTGATAGTAATTATATAGAAAGCATCGGAGTTGTGCGCTGGAGATATCCGCCACGCAATACAAACTTTCCACACTGGCCTCATCGAAGACTATACCTGTAGATGCATGGGCAGTTTGTTCGGTTAAATACAGCCTGTGATAATTTGGAGCATTTGCTTGTCAATCCCCAGCAGTATTACCCAAGTCTGGGTAGTTGATTCTGGTCACAACTGATTGAACGTAATGGATTCCGATTGGCTTATATAGAGTGTATAAAAAAAAGGTAATCGAACTTCAGCGCGCTATTATACATGAATTACTCGGCGTATGAACAATTGGTTTTCATATTCGGAAAGATCAGGCTTTTAGCTATTGAGTGACATGTTTTTCATGCCAAGTGGATAAAAAATAAGCATGTACGAGGCCGATTAAAAATGTTAGTCAAAATTGCATATTTTCACCTCTGTGCCTAATTAAAACAATGCATAACAAAAGAAAAAGCAATTAATCACGAACGCGTTGTAGCTTAGCTAAGATTTATTCATATACTTATGAATATGTGCGTCGTTTATTGAAGTGAAATTCATCAACTTAAGTACCCAAAGGGGGTTCATTTTCAATGGTTTTAGGGCCTGTTTACGATTAGGGCCTGTTTACGATTAGGGCCTGTTTACGAGGCCTGTTTACGAACAAATGAAATGCAACAACGAGTTAAAATAACGGCAATTGCAGAGTGTGATATGACTTGTTTACGTTAGCCAGATCTTTGTTGACGTTTGAAGACAGCCAATCAGGATCTGCTGAACTTAACTATGACCAATCATGTAACTGCCCAGATCTAGTTATAGTGCAGCCGGGGGTTGACAAGCAAATTTTCACAGACTATATTCCAGCATAATACAGTCAGTACACAGACTAGTTATTGATAGCATACTGGAATTTGGTATTGGATAAATGTTTTGAAATCATCACATGCTTCCAAGCCCACAGAAATTCTATCATGTAAATAAACAACATGAAAATGTATATTTTCTGAACTCTTATTATACACTCAGTTCTTATTTATTTTCAAGTACAGAAGACAAAGATTAACCCATTTAAAGGTGCAGAGCTTCCCCAGTGACGATTAAAATCGTCTGGCATAAGACAAGTAAAAAAAAGTAGGGCACACTGCGGCTTATTTAAATGGATGAAATAAAAATTATTTACAGTTTTTACAGGTGTCAATTGAAAATTAAATGTCAGATAATTACTCTTGATCACACAGGTACAAATTGAATGAATAGATTAATGCAACGTTTCTTGTCATTGTGTACTTGTAAAATTGACTAAACTGATGGATTAATTACATTTTTAATGAAAAATCATTTATACTTTGGCAAATGAATGGAATTTTTTGTTAATACTTGTTGACAGTACGATTTTCTATACAAAGTAGGCTGTAGTTCTTCTGCCCTTGTAAGTGTTTTATGCGAGTACCCTAGCTACACCATGGAAATACCCCCGCACCCCCCAAACAAAGCCTTTTCCAACTCTCAAAATGTTAGGGTTAAAAATTCAACTTTACTATAGTCGCTATATAGCCAGCAGTTTAGTAAATAGTCGGCTGCTGGCTGTATAGTCATTTCGAACAAAAAAGCTTCACAGAAATCACAGGCTGGGCATATACTGGGGTTAACCTGATCAAATGCCAAACATAATTTCAGCACGCTGTGTCATTCTATAATACCTGTATTAATCATTTCAGCAACTTCGGCTAACTTGCCGAATACCGCTCACAGGCTGTTGTCCGAGGGAGGTACCCTTTGTCATTACCCCCTCGCCACATTGCGACATTAACAAAACAATGGGCCATTCCATTTAATATACACACCCCCTATGGACGAGAATTTCTGAGGGGGGGTTGAAAAAGCCGTTGCTGAGGGGTTGTGTGCATCAGCATCCTTTGATCTTTGAGTTTTTTCTTAGGGGCAAGGCAAAAATTTCTTAATTTCCGGTGTTTGTGTTGGTGTGTTGGCACTTTGATCTTTATTTCCTGGGGGTTCAAATTTTATTGAACTCGTCCATAGGGGTGTGTACATTAAATGGAATGGCCCAATCAACCTCAGGCCCTCAAAACCCTCTGCCTCGTCATACAGCAAACTCCTGAACAATAGATGTCGAGAGCCAACTAATTTCTTACTATGGACCAGCACGCTAGACGGCTAGATATCTCGTCGCTTAAAAGGCTAGTAGGCTAGCCACTAGTAGTAGTATTAAACTAGTTTGAGTAAACCATTAAAACCAACAATTTTCCGCTTCCGATGTCAGATTTTCCAATTTTGAAACACTGCTTGGTGAATTTAATTTCGTCGATGCATTTAGGTGGGTTTAGCTCCATTTTAGAAGTATTTTAGAAAGCGTATGCTGTGTACGTGCTGAGAAGAAGCTACCGGTAGTTTTGTTGGTATGATTTTTTGGAAAATTTGAGCGGCCATGTTGTTCGAGCCAGAACAAGCTTGGTTACATGAAGTAAGGCCTGAGAACGTGAAAAACAGACAGACAGACAGACATTACTTTCGTGTGCCAGTGCTGTATACAGCTCAGTGGCTCCTCAGACAACTTTGGATTTTCCCGGTGTTTTGTTGATTTTAAAATGTTTGGGGAGCAAAAATTGTTGTGTTACAATCGTGCTTGGGTCGAACAATATGTGAAAAGCGAAAATAGCGAAGATAAAGAGATTAAAATTGGATTTAGTGCGTATTTTTAAAATATTTTACGGTAGCCCCCTCTGCGCATGACACCTGTGACGTTAGGTTCATACGGGACTTCACCACAGAGTTTTTGGCGGGAAAATTTGTAATGTTTGGAGAAGACAAGATGGCGCCGGTTTACTTCGTGTCGTCAAAGGGCATTTTTGTTCACAAATACACGCTTTTTTTACGTTATAACGACTGGTTAGTTTTGGAAATTATAACTCAACGGACAAGGATTCTGTAGCAAAGAGAAAAATACGTGCAGTTGTTGACCTATTGTGATGTTTAATATTTATTGTGAAAGACGGCCCGAATTCCGAAATTTCGCTACATCGCGGTACTGGTTTATCAAAAATTCTACTGGCAATTCGACCATGGATAAAGAAACAACGCTTGAATGAAAGAACAGCCTGTCTTAATGGTAAGTTTTTAAAGGGTTCGAATCAATATAAATGCACCTATCAATGTTAACACAGAATAGAAAATAGACCAGAAGCCTCACTTAGCCAAAATTATGTCCGAGATTTTTTATGCGCGGGCGCGAGCCAGCAAGTGTAATCACGACGCCATCAAACGCCATCACTAGGTAATAAAGATTGCTGTTTTAACCGTTTTGCTGACGAACGCTGATGTGATGTTCGCAGCAAGTGTCACACATGTCATCTAGCATGCGAAATTCGTGATCCGCATGGCGAAAATCGCGGACACGAAAATGTTAGGAAAAGATATACAGTGAGGCTTCTGGTCCATTTTCTTTTCTGTGATGTTAACCCCGAGGGAGAAGGGGGTCGGGCAAGGGGTGGGGATGGCTTATCGCATTTTAAACCACCACCCCCCCCCCCTATGGAGGATACTGGAATTTCCAGACCCCCCTTCCTAAAATTCAACAAAAAAAGAAGGAATTTCCAAGGGAGGGTCTAATTTTTAAAGAAAATCTGTGGAAATTCCACGGGGTAGGTTAAAAAAACAACATGGAAATTCCAAGGGATGGTTACCTATTAAACAAAAAATGTGGAAATTCCAGAGACTAGGTCAAAACCATCGGTGGAATTTCCAAGGGATGAGCAGAAATTGATTAAAAATCTGTGGAAATTCCATGGGGTAGGCTGGAAATTTGTAAAAAATCGCAGAATTCCAGGGGGGTAGGACGGAAATTCATCCACATCTACGGAATTCCAGGGGAGGGGGTCCAAAAAATGGATGTTCTCCATAGGGGGGGGGGGGATGGATTAAAAATGCAATAAGCCAATCATGTCAGCCATATTATGTCATGTGAAGTGAGTTTATAATATCTGATAAAACACTAGCCTGTGTTCCAGTCCGCTACACCACGGTTACAATAGACTGGAACACAGGCTAATAAAACATAGTATTCTTATATAATTATATTGTCAGCAGTGGCGTAGCTAGCGAAATTTGACTAGTCCTGCTCTAAGACCCACACATTCTAGGGGGGTCCGGGGGCATACTCCTCCGGGAAATTTTGAATTTTAGAAGTCTGGAATGGCCATTTCCTGCGATTTCACGGCGAAATACTCCAAAGGGAACATCAAAAAATTGCGTGATTAGCGGAAAATTTTTGATAATTTTTTTAGAAAAAAAATATTGTAACTTTTTGAAATCCATGCATTTTTTTATCATATTTCACTATATATTTTTCAACTTAGCTGAAAATGTAACTAAATATAGTCACGAAAGAGGAAAATATCATGTTTACAATACGCGTCTGTAATACGATCTTTCACTTGATCAACACATAATCCAACCTCATGCACATAGTCAACAATTGCGTAACTATTATACAGTTGAACACGGCGTTTTATACACTATAACGCTACCGCTATAGCATTCGTTAAAAATTCACTACGTTTGTTAGTAATGTGTTAAGCTTTATATAATGGAGTGGTATCAACTACAGATCACTATGCCTGGCAATCAGCACTCTGAATGTAATTCAGTACGCTATGCCTATGGTATTAATATAGCGTTTAATAATATAGTGTATGCGGCCAAATATCTACATTTAAAACAGTGTGAATTGGTACAGTATATCATTTTTAAAATTAAACTCCATATAAGTGCTCGTTTCAAATGCACAAAGCAGATGAACTGGCAGTAAATATTACGTTCTTACTTTATATCAATACGACAATCTTCACAAATGAAGTTTGTATTCCCCATTTAATATATTGTATTATAAAAATACACAATCATCAGTCGAGTCTGTTCACATGCATTTCGTGAGCTAAAATATCTTAGCAGAAGCCAGAAATTATATTAAAATCACATTGGGCTTCCACACTCGTTGATTTCCATATTCATAACTTGAGTAATCTCGACAGAATTAGTAAAAAGTGTGTTTAGTCACGCGGAAAGCTCGCATGTAAAGACAATACAAGGCCAAGTCCTGCCAATTTTCGAGAGAGCAGGACTTCGCATTTGTAAACAGTTGGTTTGAGCATGCGCAGACCTAATTATCCAATCAGAAACCAAGATTTCTTGTATGAGTTTACTATGAAATATACTAGCAAGTCCTGCCATTTGAAAATGGCAGGACTGAAACACGAGCGCGTGTAAATCAATGTAGAATTGCAGTTGCTAGGTAACAGACACGGCAAGCTGTAAAATTGGGTAAATATAACACAATGCGAAAAACTTTTTAGAAAATAATAACGAAAAAGACGAGAAAATGACACAAAATAACAAAATGATAATGATAAATTTTTAAAGCTTCAAGAGAAATAAAGCAATGTTTTAGTAAGGAAATTTGGGGAAATTTTTAGTCCTGCTGGGCAGGACAAGCAGGACCGCTAGCTACGCCACTGATTGTCAGTATTCTTATATAATTGTTCGCCCTAATTAGTATTCTTTTGTAGTCGTATTTTAAGTTGTGCGTCTCGCGTTTGATATCTGATAAAACACACTCCTACTCATGTTTTAAATAGTACATAATGTGAACTTTTAACATATAAGTATAAATCGATATTAATAAAATTATAAAATGGCTTATAAGTATTTATTTCTTGTCCAGAAATCTCCATATGAGTAATTCCATGCCATTTCAACACAGGCATGACACCCACCCTCTCCAAATTTCTTTATATTTCGCAGGCAGTTAACATTGTGTGGGAATAGTTTAAGTTCAAAATTTTAGCATCGTATCTGCAATAGTTTTTGAGATATCGCAATTTGAAATATGGCCCGAAAAGCAAAAAAGTGGGCGTGGCCAGTGCTAAATTCACCATTACCCTATTTTACATTTTGACCTGTAACTTCATACCCGTACATGGTATATCCATCACAATTTGCACAAAGATGTATTTGTATGCGGATATTTCAAATATTGCACTTTCATCTTTGTATCTGCAACCAATAATGTGTTATGGCACAGCTTATGTGTTTCTGAAGACACGAAATATACATCATCTTTATTGGAAAAATTTTTTATGGAAGCCATACAGACACAACAGCAATTTTTATTCCACATCATATCCAGATGCTATTCTACTTTGAAGCAAAATTTGGTGATGGTTAGTTGCCTGCTTTAAAAAGTAGAGCCCTTTAAAGTTGTCGTATTTTCTAAATAACTTTAATAGTACGTTTTGGGTGTTTGTTAAGAATAAAATACATTCATTGAGAAATGAGACTGCCAAATAGCTTAATGTTTGATTCTATTATTCTTTTTTAATAGTACATTATGTTCTCCAAGAGTAACTGTTATTTCTTGTATCAAATTGCCTTTGATCAAAATCGATGCAGTATATATAGAGATCACTACTGTTTATCCATGAATGTGCGTAAGACTTCTTGGTCTTTAAGCTGCAGTTTTTACTGCCTCCCAGTGACTATTGTTCGGAACACCAATGTTAGAAATAATGTTCTCATCCGAAACCCAACAAGTATTAGTGATTGACTAATTATTATCAATTATTCATCCAATAATATACCCGATTCTGATTTTCTATGACGTCGTAACCATTTCGAGATTTGAATGATAATTTCCAACGTAATATGTTACTAGTAGCAACCAAAGTTCGTTAAACCTGTACATAAATGACACGCTTCATGTATCATTTCGTCGCGGCAATGGTTTACTCCACACCTACTATGCAACACGCTACCGTTCGCGCAAGAGATTAAACAGTTGTTGTTTTCACATAAAAAGTGCATTCAACCTGTATCACCGTGCAATATATATGATTTTTAAAGTGCGTTTTTTCTCAACAATCGGTTTTACAGACTCGGAAAATACAAATTATTCTACCGATAAGCAAAAATCGGTCCGACTCCGATTATAATTTTTTATTTATTTGTTTATTAAAAACATCTTGTAACACGGTAGCTAATCGACTAAAAAAATATTAGCAAGTTGTCGTTACTTTTCACTAAGCCGTGTACTTACAGACAGTATAAGAGATTCCCATGCACCCACCCTCCCCGAACCACCCAAATAATATTAGAAGGACATTCAAAGTTTATTATTCACTCCAATCCCACCCAGATAAAATTATATAAAAATTTTATTTCTTTCATTCCAAACTTTAGCGGCAGCATAACCGAAAGTTCGTTTCATTGAATTTGTTTTTGGCTTCAACAACATCAACTTATTTTTGTTATTTTTTAATTCATATCGATCTGAATTATATAGTTTAAACATGTCCGAAATGTTTTCGTGAAATTGGCATGTAAGTGCTTTTGATACATATTTTAGTCGTTGCTCCGTCATTCTTTCACCTAACGTTTTCCAATCTAGTTTCTTTAAAATATCTATGGAGCGTATTTCATGAGTCAACTGTAATAACTTTTGCAGCTCAGTTTTGGAGTTTCTGAAGATTGCCTCTTAAAGATTCGCCACAGTTTAATACCCCAAATCATCGAGCAGTAATCAAAGTGTGGTTGGAATAAAGCTCGATAAAGATGTTTAAGAGTTTTCGTTGAAACGTATGGCTGACACGAGTACGCGACGCAATTATCGGTCAATCGCTAACAAGTATCCTCTTACTGGCCAGAAATATGATCTTGCGATGCACTTTGGGTTCATAAACCTTATTAATTTTTGCATTTCTTTGATCATTGTCAACTTCTTCAATCAAATCAAGCCATTTTTCATCATCTTACAAGCATACAATAAAAGAGTTCACTGAAAGTACAACTGGTTCACGAGCAGGGGTAGATAAGAAATAAATTGTATGGCATGCTTTTCATCCATTGATATTCTTTTTGTGTATGTACTATTAATAAATATGTAATTTTTAAACTTTTAAAACAAATTTTAAATATGCACTATCAATAAAGAAGGATCGAATGAAACATTAATAAAAGTATTTGGCAGTCTCATTTCTCAATGAATGTATTTTATTCTTAACAAACACCCAAAATGTACTATTAAAGTTATTTAGAAAATATGACAACTTTAAAGGGCTCTACTTTTTAAAGCAGGCAACTAACCATCACCAAATTTTGCTTAAAAGTAGAATAGCATGTGGATATGATGTGGAATAAAAATTACTGTTGTGTCTGTATGGCTTCCATAAAAATTTTTCCAATAAAGATGATGTATATTTTGTGTCTTCAGAAAAACATAATTAGACTTTTTGCTGTGCCATAACACATTACTGGTTGCAGATACGAAGATGGAAGTGTAATATTTGAAATATCCGCATACAAATACATCTTTGTGCAAATTGTGATGGATATACCATTTACGGATATGAAGTTACAGGTCAAATGTAAAATAGGGTAACGGTGAATTTAGCACTGGCCACGCCCACTTTTTTGCTTTTCGGGCCATATTTCGAATTGCGATATCTCAAAAACTATTGCAGCTACGATGCTCAAATTTTGAACTTAAACTATTCCCACACAGTGTTAATTAACTGCCTGCGAAATATAAAGAAATTTGGAGAGGGTGGGTGTCAAATCCGTTTTTTTTTTGTGTTGAAATGGCATGGAATTACTCATATTTCTTGTAAAAACAACGCGTGAGACAGCAAGCGATAAACTAGTGCCCAGTCTTCAGTTTGTTCCTGACTCTTCCACAGTCCCTCGTTACATTTTAGTGCGGGAGAATATGCCCGTTCGCGGGTTAGACGTTGACAGCTACAACGCGGGCGACTGGGGACGAGTCAGAGTTTGTTCTAAAATTGGCTCAGGTTTCTTCAGTATATCGTCTGAGATCAGTGTTAATCTGTCAAAAATCCCCACCCTCGGGCCACTTAGAAAAAAAGTGTCAGTCCAAATCCCGACCCATGGGACCACCTGCTTGATCAAATCCCCACGCTTTGCCGGCCCCTCGGGGTTAACGTTGATAGGTGCATAATATTTTTTAGTTTAAAGACCATGTCAAGTTCTGCGCATCAGTTCTGCTCATAACAAAGGGGGTCCCACATTGCCCAAATCTTTCCAACTTTTTTGAATTGAAACGTACTCTAGTTTATATTCATTTACAATAGCGAACCAGAAATAAAGTGTTTGGTATTTAGTTAGTATGTCTTATTATTAGCAGTTCAAAATGTATTAAACAAAGGATTTGTTTACATTACGGACTTGACTTGGTCTTTTAGCTCTAGTCTCGAAGCTATACTTCGGTAGCAGTGTTCGGTAGAGTCAGACTACTAGACAAATAATTTGGCTGTAAACGTTGTTTGATACATCTCGTTGTTACTCACAACTTCTCGTAATTCACATGCCTATAAGTAATTTGCCAAACGATGCTTGAAATTTATAGTAGAACCCCAACACTTACTCACTAATTTGGGACAATAGGTTTCTTAATAGGCTTTGTTTATAATAGCATTGTATCAATTATTTTTATATATTGTTGTATACATATAAGGAAGGTAATTCGCTATATTTATTTAGCTTCTGATTAATTGATTACTAAAGTTATAGGAACTAGTTCTATATTTATGTTAGAATTTTCCTTTGGAAGTTGTTATACAGTATATATACTGTAGGGTCAATCTCTTAACTGTCAATTAGGTCTATGCAGCAGCCTAAGATTAAATTTATGTTATGTTATTTTATTTTTAACTCGGTCTATTGCCAGACGATTTTACTTGTCAAGGGGAGAGCGCACTTGTGTGTTATTACATCAGTGATTATGACTTACTTTCTAGAAGGGTGTATTTATTGAGTTATGAAATATACAAGCCACTTCTGATTAGGGCAAGTTAGATCAGCTCAAATCAACACTTTATGACTAATTAAGTCATCAAATCACTTGGTTATAAAATGACCTTACTTTATTATTTTACTCTGTCTAACACCATGATTTTACTCTGTCTAACACCAGATGATTTTACTCTGTCTAACACCAGATGATTTTACTCTGTCTAACACCAGATGATTTTACTCATCAAGGGGAGAGTGCTTGACCTGATGGCAAGTGCATTATATTCCGGGCAACCAATTTTCATGTCAAACTCATTAAGTGGCATTTAGCTATTACAATGTTTCCACCCCTAAGTTGATTGCAAATGGTAGTAATAAAGTTAGGCACAGCAGTGATGTAGGAGGTCTAGTCCCTTGGATTTGGTAAAATGCCAGGAAGGACCTGTACTCTACCGTAAGCAATTTTACTCTCTGCTGGTTTGAAAAATGTATGTTTATTATGCAAAAATGTATTTGCATGGACTCCCATGTAACTATGCATAATATAGTTTCATAAAATTCTAGGAAGAAGTGGGTTATTCTTCCCTGGGTAATTCTTTCCTGGGTTATTCTTCCCTGGGTAATTCTTCCCTGAGTTATTCTTCCCAGCATTCTCCCCCTGACGAGTAAAACTGTCCGCCGTTAGACAGAGTAGAGGGCCCCCTATACCTCTTCACAATATGCTTTCACGTAAAAATATTTTGCCTTTTCACGAGTCACGGATTAAGAAAATCATCGATCACGTTTCACGGCTAAGTAAAATAAGCGCTTCACGCAAAACGTATAGGGAGTGCGTGAGTTTCACGGCGAAGTAAAATAAGCCCTTCACACTTCACGCAAAAAGTATAGGGGGCCCTCAGAGTAGAGGGCGAGCTGTGTGCCAGAGCTCCAGCATATTTTGCCTGAGCCAGAGTTGGAAAACTCCGGCAGACAAAATTATGAAAAATTATTTCATATTTCAATGAACTTTTGGTAATGGAAAAATTAAGTTGAACGATTTGAACTTTACTTATTTACTATACAGTTTAATTACTTGCTCCGATTCGAAAATTCTGCAAGCGCATTGCTATCGCTTTTGATACAAAATTCCGCTGACCCCAATGAATTTTGGGCAAAAATTTATACCACAATGCCATGCGATTTTACTTTCTACAAAACGTTCATTTGTTTAATTAAACGAGCACCGATCGAAGCACATAGATTTGATCAGTAAAGGAGAAAGCTCAAAAAGGAATAAAATAAATTCTGAAATTACACTGAAATACTTTCACCTGCTTCTACTTTTAAATATGAAATTTCCTTAAAATTTCTTTGCCGGAATTTTGACTGCCGGAGCTAAAATAACCTGAGTTTGTACAGCTCTGACAGAGTAAAATAGTAGAGTAGAGCACATTAATTATCATTTAATATTATATTATATTTGAAACATAACATGACATCAAATTTAGATATCAGATTCAGCAACTTGCCGATGAAATTTTTATAAAATATTGCCATAAAATATATAACATTCTAAGGCTATATATATATTGATACTATTGATACTATAGTGCTGTTCCAACGTACAATAATGTGAAAAAAAGAAAAGAAAAAAAGAGATGAAAAAGTTTTTTCATCAAGTGAGACAAATTTCCGGAGAAACTTTCCAAAATTGTTGTCGCTCCAATATTGTTTAGGTCCATTTTTTTAAGTATTTTATAAAGCGTATGCTATGTATGTGCTAAGAAGGTAGTTTTGTTGGCATGTGGAAAGCAAAAGTAGCGAAGGTAAAGAGATTAAAATTGGATTTAGTGCGTATTTTTGAAAAAATTTTACCACCAAATATGGTAGTCCTCCCCCCCCCCGTCGATGACACTTGTGACGTCAGGTACATACGGGACTTTGGGGGCGGGTTTTGGCGGGAAAATCTGTAATGTTTGGAGAAGACAAGATGGCGCTGGTTACCTCGTCTCATATCAAAGGGCATTTTTGTTCACAAATACCCGCTTATTTTACGTTATAGCGACTGGTTCGTTTTGGAAATTATAACTCAATGGACGGGGAAAATGATTCTGTATTAAAGAGAAAATGATGTGCAGTTGTTGTGATGTTATTTGTTGTGAAAGACGGCCCGAAATTCCGCTACTTCGCAGTACTGGTTTATAAAACATTTACAAGCAACAGCAATTGAACTATATGACAAAGAAACCAATGTATACAAGCCAATCAAGTTCTTCAGTTTAAAGGTCTGTTTACTTTTTAATAATTAGTTCATTTAGTTGTACATTAATACGAAGTACTGGAACAGTACGCCTAGTCACAGAATAGGAAGGTATACCCATGATCTTGATACGCGGAAAAGTACTGGCACTAGTTGTCAAATAGAAATCCATTTTATGATTAAAACAACTGAATATCTCCTGTAATATACTTTATTTCGATTCCATATTTTTGTCAGAGCTATAGTTCTCATAGCCAAACATAATTACAAAATTTCAACTAGTTTCATAAAGAATAACGAAAGATATAATTGACGGAATACATCAAAATGGATTTCTATTCGGACAGCCCTTTCTGAGCGCTGATTGGCTAAAATACGAGCACGAGATCACCTGGCCATTGAACTAAAAATAACTGGAACGATACCTCCAGCCGGAAATGTGAAGCCATGCCCAGGCATGCCCACTGTTGTCATGCCCAGTCTTTTCACGTAACAGAAATGAACGCGGGTTTTTTTAATTTCCAAAACTGGGTAAAAAAATGCACTAAAACATGATTTAAAACGACGTAAAATGCACCTACCAGTACATTTTTTACAATAAAAACATCCTTCAAAACTCTAGAGTAAAATATTTTTAATTTACAGTACCGATCACGGGAAAGTTAACAGTCCCTTGCGGGACGGGATTCCTGTCCCGTGGGAACGTCGTTTGGGACAGAAATCCCATCCCGCGTTGTTGCGTGGACGGGAAAGCCGAAATAAGCCTGCTAAAGACATTTACAGTAGAAGATTTGTTTCGACAGTATGCTGCACATCTTTATTAATGAAATTTGTTCAAAGCTGAAACCGTTTTTATATCATTTTTTTTCGAGATTTTTTGAGATTTGAAATGGATTTTCCGTTATTTGGATGTTTAGAGACTTTTTTGCCTTTTGGGACTTACGAGTTTTCACAAAATCTACGAGCTATATCGTTAAAGAGATTTCACAGCGCAATTAATTTCAGAAGACAATAACCGATCAAGACAAAAGGCCCACTGTCTTTGGTCTCAATAGACAGTGCCGAAAACCGATTGATGTTCTGTTTTTGACAAACAACGTGAGTCATCGACTCCAAAATAATTCCGAACGCGCTAATAAAAGCCGATACAAGGTCGCAAGCTTTTCATTCGTCCGGTTTGTTCTGTACTGCAAAAACTTCACTGCTCTGTCTAATTGGAGTGTTCACATTGAAAGAAAAAAGTCTCGAAATGCTTCGTGAACTGACTAAAGAGTCTAAAGTGTCAAAGTATGCGGTTGCATAGCGTTTCACGAATAGCGACAAAAGATGTTGTTATGGTCGGAGGTGGTGGAGAAATTAAACGAAAATGTAAAGATTTTGTTATGTTGAAGCGTGAAAGATATTCTAGCCTACATTTTATATCTTTCTGCAGGTAAGTATACATACATATTCAGAAACCACTTTGGATTAATATAGCTACTGGAGACCTTGGTTATTGTCAATTTCAAGTCACTTTTCAACGTGCGGTTCCCAACTTCGTTGTGAACTTGCCAATTACATTTCCAAGTTCGGAAATTAGGCGCGAAATGTCATATTTCTTAACGTTTTATTTTAAATTCGGATTTTAATATTCGCGGGACGGGATTCCTGTCCCGTGATCGGTACTGTATTTGTGTAGAATTCATAATTAAATTTCCTTTTTTGAAAAAAAAACGTTGAGCGAGGAGTGGAGCTTGCCGTGGTCTAATCATAAGTATTTGTGTGAATTTCCCTATTTTGCTCATTCGTTTTCCAATTTATTCGTCTGAAAGTTTATAGGAAAAAAGGTATTCTAACAAGATCAAACTACCAACCACAGTTTAATTATGTTTTGTAGTAGAGTATTTATTAAGTTTTAAAGGTACAAAATAACAAGTATAAACATTAAAGACATTAAGAAAGTTTTTTTCGCGGAACAAGAACAAGAACAAGTCGTCAACGAAGGCAAACAAAGTGATAGATACAGATTAAATAAACTTATCTTGTTTAACAATCAATGAAGTTGTTATAAATATATGTTTAATACGTTAAGATAAAGAATTACTTATCTTTCTCAAGTTTCATCTGCATATAAACGTTCCAGTCATTCAAATATGCACTTGTTGTCTCCAATCAGTTACTTTCTTCCTTGCAATTTTAGTCGGTAGGTAGGGTTCAAGATATGTTTTAAATACACTTTTAATACAAAAATATAGCTTAAAACCCTAAATAAACGACAATTTTCGATCCATTCGTCCGAGAAAAAACATTCAGTCACTTCGCCATAATGGTCTCGCGAGAATGTCTCGCAACACAAATGCGCGTGTCTGGAGGTAGAACACACACGGCTGGAGGTAAAATTTGGCTTCATCCGATCATAAGCCAATCCTATTGGAGGTAGCGTTCCAGGTATTTTTAGTTCACTGGGTATACCAGAAGCGTAACTCAAGCAAGTATTTGTCCGCATTTTTACAAGCGATTCGTCATCAATCACGCCATCCTGGCTAGTACAACCAGCACTTTGTACCTACCAAAACCAGTGAACTCTCTCTCTATATATATATATATGGAATGATAACAGCGAGTGAAAAGTGAAGCCGACAAAAAAAATCACGACATAAGTATTCGTCATTGTCTTCGTCATCAACTGTTCAAGAACAATCACTTACATATAAAATTTGTAATTGTTTTGAAAGTTTTTATCACAGTTTTTATATCTTTATTCACTTTTAACCTGAAGATGGAGTTTACTCCGAAACGTAGTTATTAAAATAATTTTTCACTAAGCCCATATGGTCTAATTTATATTCAAACACGCATACATATTCATTTACATTTTGCTGGCAGGCAAATTCCGATCACACAATAAATTCTTTAAAAAATAACGTACCAGTGTATTGACTAAAAACTATAAAACTGGTAAACTAAAAAACAATTCAAACAATTGTGAAAAATGGCAAAGTCACAGTTGCAAGTCAATTTACCTACCTGTGAAATGAAATTTTCCTCGCAAGAATATCTCTTTCCTTGTGCATCCAGAACGACACAATATATTTGAAAAAGCCTATTCTTTTCTCCACACGGGGAAGTTTTCCTTGACTTTTTTCCGACAGCGAACTCAATGCAGTAAATTTTAGGAGCAAAACAGTTTGCTCCTAAAATGTATTGCATTGAATTGGCCATGTTTTTAATTTTTTTTTCGTGATTGCGTTCAAATTTATACTGGCCGTGCAACGGTTTGCAAGAGGGGGAATGAAACTGACGTCCAATCCGCGTAAACCTGACGTTTGAGAGACTGACGTCCAATCCGCGTGAAAGACTGGTATCGAGGCTTCATTGTTTTCACAATCAAATGACTGAATGTTATCATTCCAGATATATATATATATATATAGAGAGAGAGAGAGAGTTCACTGACCAAAACCTGATAAAAACTTCCAGCTGTACTAGCCAGGATGGCGTGGATTGGCATGAGCGAGTTAAAATTTTCGTGGACGTAAAACAATAAGGGAAACGACTAGAGTTACCCTTCTGCTCTATCTTCTTTATTCTGTGGCCTAGTTTGGTTTTGCTAATTGTACTGACTACTGTAGTCGGACGGAATATTTAAGATAAGGTATGGATAAACAGACCCCAACCCCTTCCCTAACCAATAAATGTGTAATGAACTATTTGAGAGTTAGAAAGGTCGGGGGGAAAAATTTACAAATATTTTAAGAAACATTTCTACGGGGCTGTTTATATGGAAGCATGCCGCCAGGGTGGAAAGTTTGTAGTTTGCGCCGAAGATCTTCGGCGTGGAAAATTCATAAATTTGCTCCATTTTGGCGCAGAATTATGGGAAAACGAACTGGCGTGGTGCACTGGCGTACAAAAAATATTTACTTGCGCACACTACAACGTTCTCAACCATTTATGTCTGTATTTCAGTAATTTAATAAAGGGAATTTGATTGAGCACTGACTGACCGTATTTCAAATGTTTAGTATCTGTTCTGTCTCATTCTAAAAGTGTTGATATTGCAACTCGGCGGCGCATGTGAACATGTTTTAAAAAAGGATTTGTGCAGCCACTGGTGCATGTTACTGAACCTTGATCAAATCTTCGGCGCACAAGAAACAAACTTTCCACCCTGGAAGCAGGGCTGGCCTGCTAAACGAGATAGCCTGGTAAGCGGGATGAATTTTGCTTGCGTTTATGAGATTTTATCCTGCTTGCTGTGCTAGAAATTGTTTACATTGCACTCAATAGGCAATTCCAGCTTTTAGTTTATGCCTGCAGGGGATGATGGGAAGTAAGGTATCATAGTGCTGATTATGCTGAAAAATTTCAATAAAAACAACCGAAATATTTCAATATTTACAAGTATAAGCTATCACTACGTGTTTACACGGCCACCATTTTTATTTTTTCAGCATAATCAGCAATGTGATACCTTATTTCCCATCGTCCCCTGCACGCATAAACTAAAAGCTGGAATTGCCTATTGGCTTTCCCAATTTCAAAATTAATTTTTGCTTCAAAACTCACTATTTTGTAAACATTACAGCTATTGAAGCACAGCTTAGAGACAGGAAGTTTTACCTCGCAGTTTGATCGTTGAAACACACAACTTACCAAGGGCAAATTCATGGGAAATTTAGGCACTTTCGGTCAATGGGTTGTTCCAGAAAAGATCCATACCCCCATGCTGTCCGAAGGGGGAGTGAGGAAAAATGTCTTAGGATGTCCGAAGGGGGGGGGGGGAGGAAATGCGGATATAAGATTGTCGGAAGGTTTTAGACAGTGATAAAGCTATGTGTATCGGCTATAGCCCTTAAAAACTGGAACGTTTATGTAACAGCAATAATTATACGTCCACGTAACTCGTAAGCAAAATAGCGGCCCACTTTTGCATGCATGGTCACCAAAAACTAACTCGCTGTAACAGTGTATCCTGCATGTTGAGAATGAGTCGAAAATTTACACACTTTATTTATATAAAAGTAAAGTTTTGCAGTTTTTGTATGTATAAGTTTGAATTATTCAAGTGTTAAAAATAATAGTTATTAAACTGTTGCTTGAATTAAGAGACTGCTATGTGAACTAAACTCAATATTTAGAATATTTAGTTTCAATATATAGTCAATAAAAGCTTCCTTGCGAGGTGTGTGCCTAGAAAATAGAAATGGCTGTCATATTAAGGGCGAGGTTAAGGAATGCAGTAATACTAAAAAATGCATTAACATGTAAGTAAACACAGCAACGCTTCTCAATCAGTCGCAAGTTACATTGAATTTCAGTCCGAATTTTACTTGATCGAATTTCAAAGTGAATTTCTGCAAATTATCCACCAAAATCTGCCATGTGTTTGTGTTCACAAGAAGCCGCCAAGTGTTCCACCACCACGCCGGAGCTATTTGACAACAATGTAGAAAAGTCACAATAAGCCATCGCTTTCACACTACGCTGGAGCGAAATAGTTTGAAAACTTTCACAACACCTTTGCCAAATACGCTACCAGCCTGAATTGCTGAAAGCTGTTGCAAAAAACTGTTTTATAGTACTACTTTACAAAATGTAATAATTGGATGCTATATACTTCAGTTCTTGTATGATAGCGCTTATAAATAATTATATATAATATATAATATATAATTATAAATAATTATAAGCACTATCATACAAGAAATGTCAAGAATGAATTTTCCTTCAATGGTGGTTTTTTATCCGTCAAAAGTTTAATATAGTTTTGACGAGAGAAATGTTTCTCAACAATTTTCAGAAAGTTTTACAAGATTTTGGGGCTTGTTTTGAATTGGGCTATTCCATTTAAAAGACGTAACCCCCCTATCAAGGACAATGGTTTTACCATATCTCTGAAGAATTCCTGACATAAAAGAGATCCCCTGAAGAATTCCTGTTACCCCTGAAGAATTACAATTTTTACATCTGACCCCTAAAGGAATTGCATTTGAAATAACCAACCCCTGAAGAATTCCACAGGAGAATTTGTTTACCCATGAGGAATTCCGGAGTTAAAAAGGGAGATTATGGATATTAAATGGAATAGCCAATTTTCTGGAAAATTTAGCCCAATTTTCTTGAAAATTTCCTGGTTGTTTTCCCTGCAGCTTGTTTATAAACATGCTTGTTTATCTATAGCATCATTTGTAGAAAAGGTGTTGAAAGCATTTTTTGAAAGCAATGACGTATTATCAAATGACAAATGATCATGCGAGCGACACTTGCTAGGAAGATGGCGACTGTGGGACAACTATATAATAGTTTTGTTTGTGGAAACACCACATAAATTTATTACTGCAAAGCTTTCAATCCGTAAGCCCGGATCTTCATCAGTGCTAATATGTGACTTGTTTAATTCACACGCCCTTTTTATATACAAAAAATGTCTTGATCTGTTGGCTCACATATTATTAGCACTGATGAAGATCCGG